CCAACACGTTTTCAAAAGATAATAATTGTATTCAACCAACAATTAACCAACATCTAGTAAAACATCAACACATTTTTTTCAAATAACACATTTTTGACAGGGTTAACAATGTTGTGAAGTTAAGTTAGACTTCCACTGATAAAAGTCATTTGGTCATTGATGTACACCAGGTATCTTACTTGAAGATAAGAGATACCCATAATGGTCACATTGATCTACATTTCTATCGTTTCTAAAAGAGTTATTGTCAAAATAAGTCAGTAAATGTTCTCCGTTGATGAAGAAAATACACATTAATATGCCCACCCGCCATGAGATATCTGTCTTGAAATTTTACATTATTAAAATGAGTCATCTGGGCATTTCTTCTCATAATGTCGATGATGTAGTCTTCCAAAGACGGTAAACCGTACGAATAAAAATACTCCACACAGATATCGTGGGGAACGTAGACGGCTACCTAGTGAGTTCCTGGGAGATGACGGTCGTCCGTATTGATGCCATAAACTTGATGGTCTTTGTGTTTGTGATGAGAAAGTTCATCGTAAACGCACACAACAGGATTCGAGGAATCTGTGTACAAACTGTTTTTCAAAAGGTAATAAAGTTACCGGGTATCCAATCTATTTTGTTTTTCTTGTTTCGTAGGCAGTGATAAGTCATCAATTCAATCCTGACTTTTGTTTGAAAATCTCTGTACTACAGATATTCGATGCCATGGATCTCTAGAGTAGTCAATGGATGGGAGGAATTATCATGCAAGTCTTTATACCACTGATGCAACACTGCTTCTTCCGAGATGTCACCGCAGGCGTCATCCAGATACTTGTCAAATGTTTCTTCTTGACTTATCATTAGGCATGTATCGTATTGATTTTGATTGGGATGATCATTTTTACATCAATAGCAATCTTTCTTGGTCAACACTGTAACTGTTTCTCCCAGGTGTTTGGAACAACAGGAAACTAAATGTTGTTCTTGTTATGGCTATCTATACATGCCCATTACCTCTTCGTCTTTGTCTGATTCCACGATATCTTCCCATTCCATTTCCAAATAGTCTCTACCATTCAAAGAGGGATAACTAATCGCGATTCACCTCAATCCATTCACCTCTTCTCGTCACAAAATTTGGACTAATGTAGAATCGTGTACCCTCCTAGTGTCGATGCTGTTCAACCCCAACTATCCCATGTATGTTAAATCATCATAGGCAATTGCCCAGATGACTGAAACAGCCCACTGAAAACAAAGAATCTCTGTGGAGAGACAAGGCGGTCGGAAGCAATTCATAATCTACGGCCCAGAGGTTAGACGTGAGGAAGAGAAGAGGATCCGAGCGAAGATCTCTATGTTAACTGAATGTTGTTAAAAATTTTACCCTTTTCAGGGCCACTCTGTTGACTCGAAAAAGTAGTTATTCCTTTTCGCCTACAACAATGTTTAGTCGGCTTTTTTGTGTGATAGATTTGTGTTGTCTATGTCGATATATGTCTCTAACCACGTCACTATGTCTATGTCTCTATTTTTCCTTGAGAGTAGCGCTTATTCAGGTCGGCCACACTGTTCCGAAAGATTGAGATCAACCACTTGCAACATTGACACTAGAGTAGCCCACCCATGTTAAAATCACAATGACCCTATAGTGCACACTATTAAATTTAACACTAGGATCCGATATACCCTATATCGCCCCAACTCACTACTATCATTCCCCACGAAAACCATACCATAGCTCAGTAACAATTTCTTAACATTATGATGGGTTAATACTTATACCCTCAAGCCAACACATCTACAATCTGAGAAATTGATTATCTGTCATTTTAAGTAGTTTTAGTCGATATTTGATTGGTCTGCCAATACATGAAGATTCAAGAGTTACTACCTAATTATCTACAAGATCGTCTGTAAAAAGTGGAAGAAACACATTCAAAACATTTTATATGTCAATTCCAATGTTACCATCAGAAATTTACTTTGCCAGATATCACTTAATTCATTCGAGGTTTTTACACTAGCTCTAGCGTCAGCATACGTTTTTTGCAACGTTTTCAAAATTAAGTGATACAATATTAACTTTCTTGTCTAATGAGAGCTAAAAATGTATTTTGAATAAGAAACAACCTGTTAAAATCAAAATAAACAATACAAAATACAACATTGCTTTACAAAATAGGTTAGGTTAGTGGATCAAGGGTACTTTTTTGTACAGATCTCGCATTACTCTCTTTTTTCAACGAAACCTGAAAGTGTGGAATTCTAGCAAACTGTTATAGGCGTCAAGGATGAAATGTTTTAAAAAGAAAGAAATTAAGCAATGTAAAGTTAACTTTCTTGGCTAATGAGAACAAGAAAATACATTTTGAGAAAGAAAATCACCTGTTAAAATCTAAATAAACAATGTAGATTTTAATATTAATTAAATATGCGTAGAACTTGAAGACATTTTTATGGGGAACAGTCATCAATGCCGATACAAAATAGATTGAAGTGGATCAAAGGTAATTTTATCTAGTTTTCGCATTGTTCTTTTTGTGCAACGAAAACTAAAAGTGTGGAATTCTAGCAAACTTTAATAGGCCTCAAAGTTATTATCAATTTTGTAAGAAGCTTAATATTAATGAAGTGAAGTATTTATGATATCAACAATAGCTTTCTGAAGTAAAACGTTAAAGTAAATTACAATTCAAACATATTCATATTGAAGCAAAAGTTTACCACCAATTTTTTGGCCAAAAATTACCACAACCGTTAAATATCTCCAAAATATAGCACCATTTCAATTTCTCTAATGCATTTAAATTTTATCAAACTTTTTATCAATGAAAAACTATGTGAATAATATACACTTGTTGTGAGATTTTAAATAATTATTAATACGGTTATAACTCTAATTACACAGGGGCAAAGTACATTCTAAGGATACCTGGACCTTAATCACATGGGTTGATAGATTACAACCCTGACCAATTCAATAAAAATGGACAATTTCATACAACTTACAAACTACAACAAATTGTGCATCTAAACATAAGCAGTAACATATATAAATATTCAAAATGTAGGCAGTTTAAATTTATGGATTCAACGCGTAACAAATATATGATGTACCTCACAAGTATTATGTATAAATAAATTGACTGATATATCCATTAAACGACTGATTTATTGATTTATTTTTAAGTGTTTGTTTTATATGCGAATTTTCTCTCAACAAGAACACGCATTCAAAATTTAAAATAAATTCTGCCCAGAAATTATTTAAGCTTTCACTTTTCTAGAAAAGTGTTCCACATTTAAATAAAATTGATTAGATGTATATTTATCCTGGTGATTATATACACATACGTGTATGTGTGTGTGTGTGTGTGTGTGTGTGTGTGTGTGTGTGTGTGTGTGTGTGTGTGTGACTGTGTGTGTGTTAGTGTTGAGTGAAAGCAGAATGGATTATATAAAATGATGCAAAATAAATATAATATTCCATATATTCCATATATTGATCTTTTCTTTTTCCATCGGATGCTAATTTGCCTTGGTAAAATATGCACTAATTAAGTTTAACTATTCAGATTTTAAGCTGTGCAGAGTTTACACAAGAAAGTGTTTACCACAAAGTCGATATATCTCAGTAATACTTATACTTATATTGTGAGTTCCTGATATTTCTAAGGCTGTATTTGACAACTCTTTGAAGAAACGAATTAAATAGTTGCCATTTTAGGTTATTTTATTTGCTTTCTTACCTGGTTTCATGTTGTGCGTCATTCTTTTCTTTCCTCTTCTATTTTTTGAAGATTAAATGCATTGTCAACACGAGTAACACTCCTGAAGGCTCCATTGAAAGCAACACATCAGCAAGTCCTCCATTTTGGCTGGGAATAAGGGTAAATTTTACACAGTATTTCTTTGCGTACAATATATAATCCACTGAAGTTAGTAAGAACAGTTTAAATTATAATAATGTTACGTAAATTTATACGCGTTGATCTTTAAACTAAGTAATTATTCAGATTGAAAACTTAATTTGAATTCGAAATTATTAATTCCTTGGAAAAAGATTTAATCATTTTCTTCTTCTTCCTCGTCTTCTTCTTCGTTATTTTTATTCTTGTTGCTGTTATTCTTGTTGATGTTGTTATTATTAGTAGTAGTAGTAATAGTAGTAGTAGTAGTAGTAGTACTATTGTTATTTTTTTTATCATTATTATTGCTATTATTATTATTATTATTATTATTATTATTATTATTATTATTATTATTATCATTATCATTATCATTATCATTATCATTATCATTATTATTATTATTATTATTATTATTATTATTATTATTATTATTATTATTATTATTATTATTATTATTATTATTATTATTATTATTATTATTATTATTATCAACACTATCATTATTATCATTATTATAAATATTATCAATATTATCATAATTATTAGTAGTTGTAGTAGCAGCGTTGCTATTATCATCATCGTCGTCGTCGTTGTCATCATCATCATCATCATCATGATTATCATCATTATTACGGTAAAATAACTGAATCAGATGCACAACGGTACCCCCCTTAGTATCTGTGTTCAATAAATTATTTGATCTTGGATAAATCCGAAAGCGTTGGTTCACGGCTGTTATCACACCCATTCACATAATGGGAAATATAAATATGCCTGAAAATTATAATGGGATACCAGCCTCTTACCAGTCCTCTGAATAATGATTACCTCCATTGCAAATGAGAGAATAGATAAGTAGATCAAGAAATTATATTTTAGGTGAAGAGCAAGTTAGTTTTAGAAGTGGATATTCCACTGTATAAAATATATTTACCCTAAAACACATCGATATCTAAATATTTGAGGAAACAATGAGGTAGGTTTATGCCCTTTTTATCGATTCTTAAAAAGCATTTGACCTTTTGACAGGAGCTTGCTTTGTCATAAATTAGAAAATGAAAATATTAGTAGTAAAATGCTTATTACAGCGCAGGTGGACTACGTGGTTAGAGCGTCCGCCTTGGATGCGGGAGGTCGCGGGTTTGAACCCCGGGCGAATCATATCAAAGACTTTAAAAATGGTACTAACAGCTGCCTCGCTTGGCGCTCATCATTAAGAGGTTAGTGTTAGGACTGGTCTGCCTAGTGTCAGGATAATGTGACTTGGTGGAACAACATGCCACATCATCATTAACTGTCACACTGCAGGCATCGTAGCGATCACTGAAAAATTGTTAAAACTACGTTAAAGATCTAAATCACTCACGCACAAACACACACATACACACACAGAGTAAAATGCTTACGATACTAAATGCCATATATGCAAATCTCAAAGCTTGTGTGCAAACGCCAAATGGCTTCACAAAAATAATTTAACTGCCCGGCTGGAGTAAGGCAATGTTGTGTTTTATCACCAATTCTATTTTTTTTATTCCTTAACGATATAACGAAACACATGTTTGATTGAATAAAAGTGTAAAATAAGAATTTATCGATTTGTTTTCATCCTTACATATAGATTACTCGGTTACCTTCGCCGAAACTGCTGCTCAATTTAAAAAAATCGAAATAAATTTAACAATGCACACACACACACACACACACACACACACACAGAGTTAAACGCTTACGATACTAAATGCCATATATGCAAATCTCAAAGATTGCGTGCAAACGCCAAATGGCTTGACATAAAAATTTAACTGCCCGGCTGAAGTAAGGCAATGTTGTGTTTTATCACTAAGTCTTTTTTCTTCACTTCTTAACGATTTAACAAAATACATTTCTGATTGAATAACGGTGTAAAATTAGAATTTGCCAATTTATTTGCATCATTGCATCCAGATGACTTTGTTGCCTTCGACGAAAGAGCTACTCAGCTTCAAAGAATTCTAAATGAATTTAAAAATTACTGCAACATCTGGAAATTAAAATAAACCTGGAACAAGAAACTAAAATTGTAGTCTTTCGAAGGGGTATATTTAAAAAGATATGAAAGATGGTGTTTTGGTGATTGCGTGATCTGGACGGGGTCTTATTATAGATCTCTTGGCTATGTACTATGTACTATAAGAAGAACCAGTATATAATCAAATATCCGGAATATAATCTGCGTTACATAAATGTACACAAAGTAAAATTAGATGTTGCTTTGGCTTGTAGACTTTTAGGGAATTATGCACCGTTTTCAGTTTCCGCAGCTAGTCTATACAAGCTGGTTGTATTTATAGTTTTAACACATGTGGAGACAGCTATGTAGAGGTTTACAAACACAACGTGTTTGTGTTTATTTTTTAGTCGTATATATGTTTTGTATTTGCCTTTGAAAAAGACTCATTAAGAGTCGAAAGCGCTTAGGCTAGTTAGTTACTAGTTTCGTACTGTTCGTCGTCAGCTTATATATATATATATATATATATATATATATATATATATATATATATATATATATATATATATATATATAACCAAACTTATTGTTTCAGTAGATCACTTCATAAATTTAATCTATGAGTCACTTTGATGTTCCATGAAGTTGTTACGTTTCGAACGTTTTCCCCCATCGATATTCTCGAGATTTATTTTTGCTTGCTAGCCATCGAAACCAATAAAGGGGTGTTCTAATAACGTCAGCTCACAGTTCAAGCAAGCCCTACTTTAATGCATTATTAAATTTTTGCTTGATTTATACTTATCCAAATTGCTGTTAATTGTAAAGTAATGTAAAATCTTTAAAAGGACACTAAGTTTAGTTGCAGACTCTTACCGTGTGACAAAGAAATTGCCATATTTTTTATGCAGACATAATCGCTGGCACTAAACATGACATATTATTTTGAAATATTTAATGAAGAACAGAACTAACAAGGATTGATCTGGGTATCTTATTTTGCTTTGGTATTTATGCGCTTTTTCACAAACATTTAGATCATGGCTCTCATACGCGAAAATCTCCTTTAAAGGTGCTGAATCCAACATTGGAAATTGTACAAGGAAAGACGGCAACAATAAAGCTACAACCTACATTCCCGATCGGATGTTCATCGAAGGCTGACTATCTAAACCCAATGGCCCAATGTTTGTTATCAGTTCATATGTTTGATCCAGATTATTCCAGTAACTGTGATGGTAGCAGCATAACGGTGCAAGAAAGTCAGAGATGTGGAGTAGAAATTCCGGGATTTTATCATCACCAGTGGACAGACGGAGCACTTTATGACAATGTGACGGAGATGATAATAACTACCAAGGACCCAACCGATTATCAGCCTGGACGAAATACTTTCGTCTTAAAACTTTTGACCGGAGGCACGGGATTGAATGATATCGTACAGGGGAACTATCTCAATGACGTAATTGTAAGCAACTTACAAGCACTATTTAATTGCTTGTGGTTATCAGCTCGTGAATTTGCTTTAAGATTATTATTATTATTATTATTATTATTATTATTATTATTATTATTATTATTATTTTATATATATATATATATATATATATATATATATATATATATATATATATATATATATATATATATATATATATATATATATATATATATATATATATATATATATATATATTCTATCCTGTATGATAGTATTGTTTGTATTAAACTATTATTTATGCCCAGTATTATCAAGATTCTACTACAGAATTCAGGGAGAGCACTGTCTGTTCTGTCTGGTATATATTTATAATTATTTGTAATACAAAAATCCTATACACCTTGATTTCTTTCATAGGAATCTGGAACTACTGTATATATATATATATATATATATATATATATATATATATATATATATATATATATATATATATATATATATATATATATATATATATATATATATATATATATATATATATATATATATATATATATATATATATATATATATATATATATATATATATATATATATATATATATATATATATATATATGTGTGTGTGTGTGTGTGTGTGTGAGTGTGAGAGAGAATTTATTACTAGGTCGTCATGCGAGTTTGTCTGCTACGCACGAGCTTATATAACAATGATTCAGTGCCATCATTTTTTTGGTGATGCGTGCGTAGTCGTGACGGTATATGGGTTTGTGCGTGCAGGCAAGGCGATGGGTGCCATTTACTCACAGACCTGGGTTCGAATCTCCGTAGAGTACGAATTTAATTTCTCTAACCTGTATGATAGTATTGTTTGTATTAAACTATATATAAATATATTCTGTTGTCTAAATGTTTTAATCTATGCTTTGTCATAAAATTTAAGATTCAATAAAGTAGTTTTGTTTGACCCTGGTGAATTCTTTATTAATTATTTTAAGATAGTATTTAATTTTGTCTAAATGTGCAAGCAACTTGCAACCAAAGTAATTATTCTGAAACAATGTATATATTAAAGTTTTCCTCAAACTTTAGTAAAAAAATTGAAACAATGTTTATATTAGTACATTTAAAACTTTACTACCTTGTCTTTAGGTTACATTGGCATACGAGACAGCATGGCAGGCAAAGGTTTGTTACTCATATATAGACCCACATATGAAATCATTTGATGGAAGGTATGTACAGTTCGTACAATTGTCTGTGAATCGTATAATGACATAATGTAAATCAAATAGATTGCCAACATTTGATGTTAAGTTTCAGACGTGAACAATCAATGGTTTTTGTAATGTGCTCTAATGCTTCTCCCAAATGAAATTTGGTACTATAAATGTAACTTAAGTTGGTGTAAAGTCTGCTGCCATTTTCTACTTACTCTACTGCCTTCATCCGAATCCTTAATCTTTTCATATCTTTCAAGCAATGAAGTATTATTTAAAAAAACATAACTGTTTCTTCAAATTCGAAAGTCATTTTTTAAGAAGGGAAAATAGATTGAATGATATAACGAAACAAATAGAAAACATGACATCATGCGGTACTTGAAGATTCCATACCATGTACGTATTTTATGGCGAAGTTTAGGATAAATCTATTGTAATTTATTCCATTTTAATTTATTAGTCTTTGATATGGCTGATGAATGTTTTGAGGAAAAAAAACAAGTTACAATATTGCTTTTCCAGATATTACGAAAATCAAAACGAGGGAGTCTTTGTCATGTACCGTCACAATTCAAGCAAACAAGAGGTAAAACGTGCCTTTACAAGGTTGGGCCTTTCGTAAAGGAACTTTAAAGTTTTAACTCTGTGAAGATTTTGTTATATAGTATTACATTGCAGTTTATTTTCCAGTAATTTGGCTTCATAATTGTAATTAATAATCATACTGTCTTTCGTCAGATTTTAATTTGTTAGTCTCTCTTGAACGGCTCCTTGTATAATAGAGAATGATGCAACACATTTGCAATGATTTTTGTGATTTCGCAGAAACTCCAGAAATATAACAAACTTTGTAATCAGTGGAGTGTCAAGGAGGACTGGAGCTTTAAAAGAGGCAATGACCCTTTATATTAATTGATATTACAATTCGTTTCTTTGAAGATCTGTGTAAATAAAATGATATCCGTTGGCAGAGAATGTATGGCATGTATCATTTATATACAAGACATTTATTCTACAAAGATAATATCATAACAAGTGGTGGACATATGCTAAAGGCATATATAAGTATAAGCTGAAATTCCCTACTATTATCTACAACTAGTCATCGCACTTGCATCCAACTTTGCTTCTATCAAAAGACATTTGTTTATGTTTTCAGATTTAATCGACATATCTATCACCATTAGTCTTTGAACAGTTTGACATATTTTCCAGGTTCAGATGAAGACAAAACAGTGCAATAGTGTCGCAACATGCGCATGCGCCGTGGCTGTCCGAGCAGGAGGGGATATATTTTTGATTGACCTTTGCAGGAGCCCAGTTCTCATAAAACATGTTTCGTGCAAAGAGAATATACTGGATGTCAGACAAATAACTCCATATTCATATCAAGTAAACATTTCTACATAAATTATTCAATTTACTATTGAATTAAATGGCAATTCTAACGTTGTCAGGGCAAGATATATGAAATTACATACAGCAAGGTTCTCCGACAAAT